CAGGCTATCAAAAAGTATAGTGTCTGGGGTCTTAAAGGCTTGAAAGTAATCAAGCGTCCATCAAGCTCAGAAGCAACAAAGCCCACATGGAAGAAGCACACCAGCCTATGCGAAGGGATCAGGTATAAGGCATCATCAGAACAATTCATTTCTTATTCAAATTGCTATTGCAGAAAATTGAATGCTGCTAAGTATTTACTTTTCTGCAAAAAACATTTCCGTGTCTAAGACACAGGGAACCTCTTTTCCTTTGTGATACTGATTGATGGCATATTTGCGTATGCTGCCAGGCAATCTTTTGGCATATTGTGTTCTCATTTATGGATGCATTGTAAATATTACACAAAGGCCCCTCTGGTACAAGACGTGAAATTGCTGTTTACTTTTCCAGGGGGACTCCGAGAGAGTAATGATAATTACTGGCCCCAACATGGGTGGAAAGAGTTCCTACATAAAACAGGTGGCACTCATCACCATCATGGCTCAGATTGGCTCCTACGTTCCTGCGGAAGAAGCCATAATTGGGATTGTGGATGGCATTTTCACGAGGTAAAAACATTCGTTCCATTTGAATACATTTTTGAAAATACATCAAGTCCCCATTGTGTCATGCATTTTCTTTTTATGTGCATATTTAGATGAATAGATATACTCTTAAATAACTTTAAATAAAACCTCATGTGGAAGAACACTGTTTAAAGGGATAAAAGCAGAGCTGCTTTCCCCGAACCAGAGGTGGAGAGAAGGTTTGGAGACGGGACTGCTATGCTCTGTTGAGAGTCTGGAAACTAGTCCACTCTCCCCACTTTGTAGGTGAGGAACTGGGACCAGCCTGGAAAAGGGCCTGGATCATGAGAATTCAGTTCCCTGGTTTGTTTTTTGTTTTTATACTTTTAATTTTTTTTTAACTCTGAATCAATTACATGTAACTCTCTTGGTTCTAAGGCCCAGACTATCCATAAAAATGTGTTTTTATGTCATTTTAGGAATGTGCGTGAAATATCTTTCTCTCACTAGCTGGAATTTAATCTGTTTGAAGCCTTCAGACTTATCAGTTCTTAGTATTTTACTATATATCTTGCAGGTGTATGTTTTTAAAAGTCTATACTTATATAGTCACTTCATGTATAGAGTGTCTGATATATTATCCAGACTCATATTTATATGATATTTTCCTTAGAAGCACATCAGAATGTATCACATGCTAATCTTGATGTTTGTTAAAACACCCAATCTCACTGCCATGTAGTCAGTTCGTCTCTTAGGGAGCACACACTAGGGACATTTTAGCACACTCCACTACTAACGTGCAGTTCCTCATCTGATAGCGAACAAAGCAAAGCAACCTGAAATCTAGTGTGTTTCTGATCTCCATATGTTTATAAGAGTTGAAGAATACAAGAAATTTTTAAGAATCTTTCTTT